GTCGGTCATCTCTTCAGTGAGGATTTTGTTCGGATTTTTCTCGATCAGGATATAGGCCACCTTGAGGAGACTGAGGTAGAAAAGCATCTTGCCTTTCCATCTCTTGAAATGGGCTCCCTTGAACCGGAAGGGCTTGTTGAGATCGTCGTTTACCTTTTTTTTTAAAATGTATAAAAAAGTAGAGAAATGATGTGACCTAAAATAGGTTAAAAGTAAAAAACTGACTTTTAATCAAGTTCTCAAATTAGGCCGCTGCCATTGCCTCCACCACAACACCATCACAACCACGACCACCATCACCTCCATCGCCACTGCCGACCTGCTATCCCCACAACCGCCACCACCACTGCCTCCATTATCACTATCTCTAATGCAATTATTAGTACATTAATTTTAAGAATGCAATCAAACATAGAAAAACTTTTTTTTAAAAAAAAAAATTGTACAAAAAAGTTCTGTCAAAACAACAGAGAGATTTTTATAATGTAGGAAGAGAAAAAGATTAAAAGATAGAGAAAGAAGTGATATGACTCACGGATTGAGACATAATGCGTTCAAGGACAAGCTGAGAAGTTGCAGAAGAAGCAAAGGAGAAAGATAGTAGTGGGTTCCCATTTCCAGGAATAGCTGCTGCTGCTGAGTCCTCAGTCTCAATGTCACAGCCTCCGGTGACATCTTCGACCACAGAAGCGAAAGACGAGTCACTATTACTACTACAACCACCATTAGTAGCAGTAGTAGTAGCAGTAGTAGTAGTAGGAAGCTTGGGAGTAGGTGGAGCGAGAGCCTTGGAGACTTGGAGGGCGGAGGCGCTCCATGACCTTGCCAGGAACTCCAATGGCTCTGTCGGGAGCTCCGGCAGCTGAACCTCGCCGTCGCCATTGCCGCCACGCTGCTCCGACCGCCTTCTCTCCATTTTACCAACTCCAATTAAGAGAGGAGTAGGCATGGTAGTAAGCTCGGACAGTTGTTTTATGGAATGCTTGGTTGGTTGCTTTTTATAGAGAGCCATGGGAGACAAAGAGAATACGGATACGCGAGTTGGACGGAATGTACTATGAGCTAGATGTCATATATTTTTTTCCCTCCATATCTTGTGTGCGGTTGTTTCGGATACAGAGAGTATGGATAGTATATGATGTAAAGGGGAATATACAATATTAATCCCTATAGTATTGTATATAGATATAGAGAATCTTTCTTCTAAAAATTAAAAATAATCATCTTTACTTTTTATCATATCTTAACCAAATATAATATAATTGATCTTACAATATATATAATTCATCTTGTATCCTACAACATATTATATCTCATCTTTATCCTTACGTATTACATATTCTACGCAAACTCTTATATTCCAAACAATCAAACGAGACCTAACATACTAATAATCCTATTAATAATCCTATTAAAAACTCATAAATCACCCTTTGTGAGACACTAGAAATGTACTACACTTTTGTTACAAATATTTTCCAAACAGGTTTTTTTTTTTTTTTTTTTTTTTCAATAAAAATTGTTATTTTTAGCATTCAAGTGAGAAAAGATGGACACTGAAAATAACAGAGTTCCAAATTCTGACCTTTTTTTTTTTTATATCAGTGACGTAGGTGGGCCTATAGGGGCTTTTGGCCCACCACTTATGGGCCAATCCAGGCTTGGACGATCCGAAACGCTGAGTTCTACACAATCGATCAACCCTTATTCGCCAGAACCAATCAAGAAGAGGCATCGCAATGAGAAAAAGAAGGCCCAACGCAGAAAGATATTCCACTTCCAATGCGGCTGTTCGATATTCCACACGAACGGATGTATCGAACCACATCCACTGGCCAGAGAGGATGCTGTCAGGGGTCTTCTACGACACTTTGAGGAACCCGATGTGGTTCAAAGCAGTAGACATGTCCATGCTGGGGAATCAGGGCGTATACAAGATAGAATGCATGTTCAACTACAACCTCCGGAAAGCACTAGAAGTCCGGACGTTCAATGTGACAATGTATACATGGCTGACCTGCAGTGGTCTCAAAGCCTGACGGAGAGTGTATTTACTCAGCTTATTGCACGCAAGATGACGACTACATTGTCAAGCTTTGGAATTATTAGCCCGGTAAATTATTGTCTCACACTGACCATTGTACTTGACAAGATTTCATATTATGTAAAAGAATAGCGGTGGGGAAATATTTATATAAATTTTTACGATTAAATAACGTGCTTGTAAAAAATAAAAATAAAAATAAAAACCAAACAAAACAAAACCCTCCATGTGATCTATGCAAAGTGATGCCCTAAATGCATTTCAAAGCACTTCTTCCTATACTAGTTGCTAGACATTACAAAAAATAAAATAAAATAAAATAAAATAAAAGTAAGGATTATGATATTAAAATTTATGGACAAAATTATTTTTTGGTGACCAATTATTTTTGTTGCGAAAAGTGTTGTCATTATATTTTTAGTAACGAAAATTGGACGTTAGTAATAAATTATTATCATTTTGGGACCAAGTTTTTTATCTCAAAAAATAAATCATTTTAAGACCAAATTATTTTGTCCCAAAAAGTCTATTCATTAGTGACATTTTCAAAATGTTGTCGCTAAAAGTCTTGTTTTTGACTTTTCGGAACGACCTTTTAGTAACTATCCTCAAGACGATAGAAATTGGTCCCTAAATGTCTTTTGCAACAAAATTTTCACTTTTAAAGATCAAAAATTAGTCTTTAAAACTCTTATATATTATAGTGAAGGTTGTGCAAAATACCATCAAATTCGCTAAAATCGCACCGATTTGCATCAATCCGCACAGCTCTAACTGCCAACCACGGTTTAAACTTTAAAATTTATAATTTGCCTTCCAAACCGCTCTGCTCTGTTATAATTAATACATATATATTTTCTAACATCTAATGAAATATCAATGTAAAAATGAGTGTAAAAGAGATTTAAGATATAAAATTTATTACAAATTATTAGCTATATATATGAAACATATTATATAAAATTACTTTGTGTTACATATACAAAAAATATTATACAAATTAGTATTATATGTTATAAAAATGTATTATTAGTTAGAATATTCTTCAATCTGTCAATTCGCCAAAAATCACCCAAACCGTAATTTGTCAATCCGATAATCTGCCAATCCGTCAATCCGCCATTTGATTTGTAATTTTACTTTCAAATCGTCCAAACCGCACTGCGCACACCCGTACTAGTTGGTATCATTAACATGATGATGGCCAAAGCACTTCCTCTACAATGTGAGTAAGGGTGTAAAATCGGCTCACAATCCTGAGCGGCCAAGCCCAAGCCTGGCCCATGACCATAGTCCTGAACCTAGGCCGTGTGCTTTGGGGCCCAGCCCACTAGCCTGCTCAAGGCCCAGTCTGTCAAGCTTGCCCGAGGCCCAATACCATATTCAAGCTATCTTTGATAAAATAAAAATAAAAAAATAGTCCCAACCCAGGCCCCCTTCCCAAGTCTGAGCTCAAGTCCAGCCCGAGCACAAGGGCATAATGAACATGTTTGGTGGAAAAAAATTAAAAAAACAAAATGAAGTGAACTTTGTCTTTCAATTACAACAACTTCTTTTAACAGCTGTCAAACCACACTATCACTAGCCACAAACTCCTTAACTTTAATAACAAAGAAATTACATTATTGTTTTGGAGAAAAATATTACATAATTAAAATAAGTTGTATAATTGAAGTTTATATGAACGTAAATTTTTCTAAAATCAATTTTTTTTTCAATAAAAATTGTTATTTTTAGCATTCAAGTGAGAAAAGATGGACACTGAAAATAACAGAGTTCCAAATTCTGACCTTTTTTTTTTTTATATCAGTGACGTAGGTGGGCCTATAGGGGCTTTTGGCCCACCACTTATGGGCCAATCCAGGCTTGGACGATCCGAAACGCTGAGTTCTACACAATCGATCAACCCTTATTCGCCAGAACCAATCAAGAAGAGGCATCGCAATGAGAAAAAGAAGGCCCAACGCAGAAAGATATTCCACTTCCAATGCGGCTGTTCGATATTCCACACGAACGGATGTATCGAACCACATCCACTGGCCAGAGAGGATGCTGTCAGGGGTCTTCTACGACACTTTGAGGAACCCGATGTGGTTCAAAGCAGTAGACATGTCCATGCTGGGGAATCAGGGCGTATACAAGATAGAATGCATGTTCAACTACAACCTCCGGAAAGCACTAGAAGTCCGGACGTTCAATGTGACAATGTATACATGGCTGACCTGCAGTGGTCTCAAAGCCTGACGGAGAGTGTATTTACTCAGCTTATTGCACGCAAGACGACGACTACATTGTCAAGCTTTGGAATTATTAGCCCGGTAAATTATTGTCTCACACTGACCATTGTACTTGACAAGATTTCATATTATGTAAAAGAATAGCGGTGGGGAAATATTTATATAAATTTTTACGATTAAATAACGTGCTTGTAAAAAATAAAAAAAAAAATAAAAACCAAACAAAACAAAAAAAATCTTGATAGACTTGTATAATTGAGCTCTTGTCCACTTCAAGTTAGTGGGCTGGGTTAATATATCAGTCTTTAATGTTAGCAGAGTTTTCTCATATTTCAAATATTCCCTCTTAAGCAGGGGAGGTGGAGAAGGGGATGAGTAAAGGTGGGGGGCTGCCGGATATGGAGGTTGCCAGAGGAGGAATGGGGGGCTGCCAGTGCTTCTGTCTCCTCTCTATTTTTTTGTTTTTTTGGCACCAAAAACGAGTCATTTTAGTGCACTACAAACCTTGCACCACAGGATCTGAACTCCAATGTAAAGGAGCCAAGTTGCCTCAAACAAAAGAATTAAAACCCTAGTATTCCAACTTCCAGCATCAACTTTAGCTGTGCCTTTGTTTGGTACCCAACATTTACCACTGTAGTCCATGAATGTTGACCTGCCTTATTTAGTGTTCATTTGGTGCAACTTCTAACAAGATGAAAGCTAATAATCAAAAAACATAAGCAAAAATCATATCCCTGCTTCTCAATATCTCTAGAGCCATTCAATTGCTCAATGACAATGAATTTTGAATTTTGGTGATGAGAACATTAACATGTAAAAATTATGATCATGAGCCCATTGTAGGGCAGCCATTATAGGCTACTAAAAACAATCAGCATAGATAAGTAGCTTTAAAAGCAACTCAGTTTCTGTTCACACAGGCAACAACAGCTTCATCATGCACACTACTGTAAAATGAGCTTAACTTTGTTATAGCAAGAGCTTCTCCAAATAGTGATGCTCTTGTCGATTTTGATATCCGAACTTCTACATAGTCTCCAACCCTTGGATTCCGATTCCCATCATAAACCTCCCGATCTGGGACTGGCAGATTAGTAAAATACACCCTATGGCCTCTGTCGCTCTTGCCAATGAGCTCTGTCTCAGGAGCTCTCTTATTGGGTCCTTCAACTAACACCAATTGGACAGTACCAATTTGGGAGTCATAGCACTGACCTGTGCTCTCGCGGAAAGCCTCGATGAGTTCCGTCAGCCTCCTCTGCTTGACAGCATCAGGAACATCATCAACATAATTCCTATGGGCATGGGTTTTCTCCCTCATGCTATATGCAAACATGTATGCCATGTCATAACCAACAGTCTTTATAAGGCTTAGTGTGTCTTGGTGTTCCTCCTCTGTTTCACCACAGAAGCCTGGAGAAAGAAAATCACAGGTATTAGGGGCAATGCAGGAATTGCAATTTAAACTTCTTCAAAGTTCAATGACAATAGCTTTCCTCTAATGCACCAAAGAAAGGGTAAGAAGTACTTGCCAAAAAAGAACTTAAGACTTGCTACTTGTCAATTTCTACCAACTCATGCCTATGAATTGTCCAACTTCTTAATTGTCCAATCGATATGCAAATGGTGGATTTATGAATTAAAAGACAATAATTTCATCTCTTCATTAGAGAAAGACTATAGGAGCACCCAACTCTATATAATTGGCTATTTGACACACATTATAAAAAATGGTATCTGCAAGCTATCCACAAAGGAAATAACAATTGGCAACATGATCTGTTAAACCGTTCTACATATATTGAGAATACAAAAAGAATGTATGTACAATAAGGATCTATTCATAATAAATAGCTTTGAAAAAGAGGGGGGGAAATGAAAATGACACAAAAATGTATTGTATAATTATTTTTAATAAATGTTTGAAAGAACTCCGCCGGGGTTGTTAACAACTCCGCCGGTCCCAAGCCCGGGTTAAGGAGGAGGGTTGTGTGTTAGGTAGCCGACAGCCAACACGTAAAAAAGCCGCTCGGATCCCTTATGAAATGAATCCTACTTTGAATCGTTTAAATGCTAGGTCGTTCCCCTCAAGTGACGCGTTGCGCCTGCCTCCGAATGTTTCGAAAAGTGAGCAAGGGGCGCCGCATCGACGCCTGGGTGCGGTGAAAAATGGGCAAAGGTTTCCACATTTTTTTGGACGAGCGTGGGTAAAGAAGCTAGTCCAAGACTATAGGTTTAGGGTAGCCACTTGGAACATAGGAACCTTAACTGGTAGGACGATGGAATTGGTAGATGTTATGATTAGGAGGAGAGTTAGTATAGCTTGCATACAAGAAACTAAGTGGACGGGAGAGAAAGCTAGGGAAATTGAGGATACTGGTTTTAAACTTTATTATAGTGGTAAGGATAGACGCAGGAATGTGGTAGGAATCATAATTGCCAAGGGTCTTGTGGAAAGTGTGGTGGCGGTCACTAGGTAAGGAGATAGGATTATGCTAGTTAAACTAGCTATTGGAGGGAATATAGTGAACATTATTAGCGTTTACGCCCCTCAAGTAGGGTTAGATGATCAGACTAAGAGGGATTTTTGGGAGCAAATGGATGAGATCTTACAGGAGATACCCGTAGGAGAAAAGCTGGTTATAGGTGGAGATTTTAATGGCCATGTGGGCATAGATAAACTAGGTTATGAAAGGGTGCATGGTGGATACGGTTTTGGTGACAGAAATGAGGCTAGAGAGAGAATCTTAGATTTTGCGTTGGCTTCTGACCTGGTGGTGACCAATACTATGTATAAGAAAAGGGAGGAGCATTTGATAACCTTTAAGAGTGGATTAGTTAAGAGCCAAATAGATTACTTCTTAGTGAGAAAAGTGGACTGCCTAAAATGCAATGATTGTAAGGTGATTCCTGGAGAGAGTCTGGTCGCTCAACATAGGATTTTGGTACTACCCAGCTCAGCCGAGACATTCTTCCCGACAGCGTTCAGCTCGGTTACTTTTTGCCGCAAGCTGACAATGCGGTCCATGACAAAGTGGGTCTTCTGAATAGATTGTAGGAAACTAAAAGAAGGTTAGACCAAGGAAAAAACAAACCAGGCAGACAATTGAGAAGATTTTAAAATTCAAAACTCTTACTCTAGTCATCGATTTCACCGCTGACTTGACAAGCTAGGTGTCCGGAACATGCTCGGTCCTTATCATATCTTCCGGTAGAAGCAGGGATTTGGAAAGATTAAAGGCAAGAAGGTGTTCCTTGTCCCCTTTCACAGAAGCATTGGTCAGGATAGGGCCTCCCCGGGACTTTAACCTCGGCTGCCAAGTAGGAACCGGTTTGACTTCGGTCGATCCATGCTCAGTATTGAGCTCGGTTGCTAGCTCAACAGATAGATCAGCCGAGCGAACCATTTTACCAGCCTGGCACTGCTCAGCATGTTGTGCAGCCATAGAAGCTAAGTCGATCACGGTCCCGAGCTCTAGCCAGCGGTCGGTACAGGAAGTGGATCACTTAGCAACTTGGTAGAAGTAGCGGTAATTAGGTTCTTAATCCGGCTTCTCTTTGACATCTCTTCCTCCTCAATCAATCATATTAAGGACTCGTTTGGCAGAGTTAGGTCATGCGAAGGAGAAGGAGCCCGGAGAAAATTTGTAACCTGGTTCTTGCGGGGAGCTGAGTAACGGTAGCTCGGTATACCCGAGGAGCTCGTAACAATCTCGGTGTCAATACCTCAGCACGGCCCTGATCGCCTTTTCGTTCAGATAGAGGTAATTGGCTTGTAACTCTTCGATCGCTGCAAAAAGAAGGCAATTAGCTCGACACGATTAATAATGACAAAAATAAGCAATTAGAAGCTTGGCTTATAAGAAGAACCGATGTCCTTGCTATCACCCAAAAAAAATCATCATCATGCATATCCTTGTCCGGCGTCCTGGTCACCAATCACTCCTTGCCCAGTCTTATTTTTAAGTAATAACTGTAGTCGTCCTTCGTCCGACCGAGCGTGTATTGACGTAGGATCTCAGCCAATCTTAACTGTAACCCTAGCCGATTATTCAGTTCGGCCACTCCATTTATGATCCTATAAGTGTTGGTAGATACTTGAATAGGAGCCAGCCTGGTATGTCTCAAGAATTCGCACATTAGGGGCTGCATCGGGAAGCGCAACCCTCCCTCGACTATGCTTAACATGGTGAAAGGGCAGGACTCTAATCTGCCCCATGGATTTATGCCCTCTTCACCGAGCTCCAAGTACATGTCGGTGGAGACACCATACTCCTTGCGAAACGAGGCCAAGACGGCGTGTTTACAAGGAAGCGGTAATGCCCCATAAAGGACCGGCTTGTTCAGCTCGGAAGAATTAGGTCGACTAAGCTGTGCATGATGGCTGCTTGGTCTTTGAAAGCCCTGGTGTTGGTGTGCTTGGCCTCTAGGAGTCTACAGTTAAAAATCAAGCATAAGCGGGAGCACAATCGCGCAAATAAGCTTGATTTTAGCTAGGTCTAGATGGCTTTGGTGAAATCTAACTCGATCGAAAAGCGGGCCAGATATTAGCCCGATCATACGACCTCGTGTGTCCTGTATCCCAGCTTTCTACTCTAGTTTCACAAACAATGAATTTGCCCAGTCTTCTTACGTTTTCAGATCAAGATAGCACTATTAGCCCGGTCTATCCCAAATTTGCCCTTGTTCATCTTAGAAGGCGATGAACAATGGCTGAAAATGGGGAGGGCGAGGGTTTTCCAACGCAGATGGTTAGACAGAGCCCTATTTTGTTTAAATCTACCCTAGTTTCTTCACATTTCGTGATGTTATCATGCCATTTCGAAGGAAAGTAACATGACAAGCTCAAAAACATGAAGAACAATTAAGAACAACAGAGGGAATACGAAGAACTTACGGGTTAGGGCGTGAATCAGAGCTCCAGACAGAGAGATGCTTTCCCGCAGTAACGACAAAGCCAAATCCACCAGAGAAATGCTTCGATGTGAGCAAGAGACGCAGAAAATGAGGGTGGTTGCGTTGTAGTTCAAGATTGACTATGGGGAAGAAGATGAACAGTAAGAGTTGGGATGTGAAGAGGCCTACAATATATGTATGAGAATGAATAGAGGCACCAAAGTTTGAATTCGGAGAGACGGCGTGGGACAGTGGGATAGGCAGTATGAGGCCAATTAGTGAATGCCGCGTATCTATGATGAGATCGGTGCCAGTCTCGAAAAGACAAGCTGGAAACCTAAATCGTCAACCAAGCAAAGCTACACAATCGAGCGTGATAACTAGCATGGTTGAAGGTGGTGAACCAATCTGGGGGCACAGATGGCTAGGCATGAAGCCGGACGGTAACGGCCGAGCAAGGGAGTTCGGCCGCAAAATGTAATCCCAGTCACGCTAGCGCGGACGGAATTAAGGGGCAATTGAGAGGGAGATTTATGATCTAGTTTCGGCCAAACAAGATTGGGCCGAGGTATTTGGCTTCAAGATTGTGCCGTGGTTTTGCTCAGTAATGGCAAAGGGCCTGCGGAGCCGAGCTACTTGGGCTCTTTGGTATGAAGGCCGGTCAAGTGAGAGCTCGGCTGAGACGTCCGCGGCCTAGAAGGGCTTCATGGTTCGTGCGTTGCTCGGTCGGAAGGCGCGCACCCATAGCTCGGCGTGAAGATTCGTGCCTGAAGCTCGGTAGGAAGGCCTTTGGTTGACCGGAATGACCAATCCCGTGCTCGGCGTCGCCGGAATGCGGTCGAGCACGGCTGAAACGAAGCTCGGTTATTGGAAGCACTTGGTCTTGAAGTGGAGTATGGCTGTTGGCAGCCGAGAAGCTGCAGCCCGGCTGCCGAGCTCCCAGTAGAGTGGGCTGGCAGTTGGGTTAGGTGGTGCTCAGCAAGGTTTATGCTGACAGATGGGATAATAGTGCCACGTGTTGAGAGGACACTGGGAGTAGATTTGGGGCGCAGAGGGTATATAAACACGTCTGCGCCCCCCATACGCGGACAGAGGAACATTTGGTGAGACATACACTAAACACTAAACACTCTCCCTTCTCTCTATCTATCCCCTGTGTGTGTTCTAACTTGATCGTCGGAGGGGTTTTCCGGCCACACACCGCCGGGTAGCTCACCGCTATTGTGCTCGCAGGTGATCGGACAGAAACGGAGCTTGGAAGAAAGGAGTACGGGCTTGCCAGAATATTTGCTCCCCGTACAATTGGCGCCGTCTGTGGGAACCTTGACAGATAAAACCTTGTCTTCCAGGCTCATCTGATCGCCGTCCATGGTGAACAAAGACGAGATTCCGTTGTCCGCCATCGATGGAGCTACCCCGGAGTTCACCCGACGGAGAGAAGGATATCCTGTCATCCTTCCAATGGCGAACTTGGATACGTTCACTGGAGGACAGTCAGGAGACGCGGGGGATAAGCGCGGAAGAAGTTATGGTCATTCACGAAGTCCAGACGGACATCGGCGGCGGAGAGAATCACATGCCCGACGTCTGGAACACAAGTTGAGGGACCAAGACGCTGTCATCCGGCGAATGGCAGCGGAGATGGAGGAGTTGAAGCGGCATGTCAAGGGGAAGGGTGTAGATGGAGTGGTAGACCACAGAGAGTGCATCCCATCCCGCCGTTCAGAGAAGTCCAGCGCGCAAGATAGCACTTACCAGCCCTCACGTCCGGTGACGACGTCGAGATATTCCTATTCCGCTCGTTCAGAGGACTTGCGGGCAGTCTTGAAGGAACGGGCTCGCCGGCGGGAGGCTCAAAGGGTGCCGGCGTTCCAGCGGCTATCCTACAGGGTTCATGCCAGCGAGGAGGCCGGAATGCCCCCACGCCGCCTAGCGGAGCCACTCCTTGTAGATACAAACTTGACGAGGCTGAGCGCCACCCCTTTCTCCCTGGAGATAGAAATAACACCACTTCCCGCGGGCTTCCACCAGCCAAAGTTCACGCTTTATGACGGAAAGACCGATCCGTATATGCATGTAAGCCACTTCCGACAGGTCATGGCCGGACGTAGGCGAAATGACGCTCTTATGTGCCTGATCTTCCCGTCGAGTTTAGGCGAGCTGGGCTTGAAGTGGTTCGAGAGGTTGCCAGAAGAGAGTATACAACAGTGGAATCAGTTGGCCGAAGCCTTTGTGACGCGTTTCAAAACCAACACCAAAACGCCAAAGGAAGTTGACCACCTTCTCAGTGTCTGGATGGAACCAAGCGACACTCTCAAGGCGTACAACTCCAGGTACTGGGATACCTACAATGAGATCCTAGATTGCCCAGTCAACCTGGCAATCACCCAATATAAGCGCGGTCTCCCGCTCGGACATAGGCTGAGGGATTCGCTTACAATGAGCCAGCAGACATCCATGTGTCACCTAATGCAGCGCATCAATGAGCACATTCGAGTGGAGGATGATGCAGCGACGTCCACCGCGGAGACAACCTCGATGGCAACGGGCAAGTGGACGACTGGGTTTTAAGGAAGGTCATGGGCAACGCACTAGTGCCGGGTGAAGGCAAGCTAGGGGCAAACTAGGAAGAGCCTTACAAGATAACCGGGCAAGGGGCATACCACTTAGAGGATTTGGATGGCAAAGGCGTACCCCGGCCATGGAATGCGGCCTTATGTAATTTTTTGAGGGACTTGTTTCCCCTACACTTCTGAATGCAAATACTCTTTTTGTCAATGTAATAGAAGTGAATTACTTTTGCTGAAGAGCTTTGTTGTGTCCGAAATAATAGTGGATGAGGGGCATACTCTTCTGTTCCAAAGAGTTGGCGTTTTCTCCAACTTCGGATTCCCAACCGAGATGCTTTACTCCAGTTGGAAGAGTTGGCGTTTTGTCCAACTTCGAATTCCCAACCGAGATGGTTACTCCGGTTGGAAGAGTTGGCGTTTTGTCCAACTCCAACTTCGAATTCCCAACCGAGATGATTTACTCCGGTTGGAAGAGTTGGTGTTTGCTCAACTACGAGATTCCTA